AGATGGATGACGAAGCAACGTATTTCCGTTTCAATCGCCAAAACAAAGCCCGAATACTGCAACACTGCTCTTCATCAACTCCAACAATGTTCTCAAGTATTTCAATTCGGAACGTCAATTGACACGAAATCCCAAAACCATCCACTACGAAGCTTCCCTCGTAAATCCCCATCATTTCTTTCGACCACACGGATAATTCCATTCAGTTAACGATTTTCAATCGAAAAATTTCTCCAGCCTAACGTGCGACAGAAATCCTGTAGATACGGTACAGTGTATTCGTCAATCGTTGCGACGAAACGGATTTTGTAGAGACACAATAAGCGATGAAAGAGATACGGTCTTCCAAAAATGCATGGTAATTAACAACCGAAACGCTACGAATCCTGTTAGATAACCATCGCGACGCAGGGAATACGATAAGCTGAATCGTAATCAAGAGCACAGACCCGCAGATCCTGTCGACAAATGAAACCAAAACGCACGGCTCGAACGAGATCACGACGAAATCTCTGACGCGGATGCAGGCAAATCACGAAAAGCATGGAAGAAGCAAATGCGAAGCTGAATCAATAAACGCTGAAATCAAATCACAAACGTGGACTCAAGATACTGAGCTTCTAGGAAAGCGTCCGCTGATTCGGAGTTCTTACCCTTCAGAAGAGACACAGAACGAAAAGCACCGACGAGCTTCGCAAGCAAAACGTGTAGAAAAGAGTCCACTGCCACGGCATCCAGATTCGGCGAAGACTGATCGTACACGATCATTTCCCATAAATCCGTTACATCCACGTCGCATACTTTCCGCACAAAATCCCGAATGGAAATCTGCATAGCACAAGAGAGAACACGTAACCTTAGACTTTACCATTCACCCGTGCCAAGTACCTCCGGTCCATTCATCCCGGCATGAGTTCATGTGACCCGAAACATCCGCGAAGGGCACAGGATTCAAGTTCACTCACTCAGTAAACTCAATACGCAAATAACTCACCTTTTCTTGTTGAAGACGCTTCTTCACGAGCTTCGAACAACAAACATTGACAGCACCAACGATGTGCAAATCGTTGAACTCCAGAAAGGACCGGCTATCCACTACCAACACCTGCCATTCGAAATGGACAAGCTGTGGGTTCAAATCCGATTAATTTCACTGTCTTTTACAACCTCAATTCACCCACGAGTTTTCCGTGCGTCCAACCGTTATTGAACTACCTTTCATCAAACTCCTAAACCAACACGAAGCATTTTTAACCTTCGGTAATCATGAACCATCGGAACAAAAGGAGCGCCTCATACCGTTTTAAGAATCACCGATATCTTTACAACTGTACTCCAATAACGCATCCCTCGAAGAACGTACAGTAAAGGCCAGCAACCTCTAGTCGCCACCCCCTTCCCTATTTTCCCAGTTTGGCGCGCACAGCGTCCTTGACTCTCGAAGCGCCCACCGGCCATGTCAACCAGCAGGCTAGCCAGAGAGCTCAGTCTCGTTTGAACCGCAAACCAAGAAAGAACTCCTCCTTTTGAAAACCCGAATCTCCCTTGAGCTAGCACGCGCACCGAGTGTTGTGACACCGACCTTCTATTTGTAAAGAGCTCAAATCCGACATGAAATAAAACCCCTTGTGCATAGCTTCCCAAACCTTGGTGTTTTATATTCAAAGTTTGGCAGGCGCTCTTACTGGAATGGTGATGTTTTGACCAATTGAGAAGGGTTTGTACTTTGTGCTGTGGTTAGTGGTTTTGCAAAAGGCTTTGCGTTGTTTTTTAATGTGCTCTTGGACATTGGCCAGTTCTTGAGAGATATCAGGAGGCTGAATTTTGAAGGTAACATCTGCAGGGAATGGGATGGAGCGTTTTTTGAAGAGATTGAGCGGGGAGAGGTTGGTGGTGGAATGAGGAGTAAAATTGTAAGAACGTGCAGCTTGTTCTAGAAATTCATCCCATTGATTAGGTGCTGGAGTGATTTTAGCTATGATTTGGTTGAGGGTTTTGATCGCGCGTTTGCAGCAACCATTACCTTTGGGGTGAGATGGCTGGGCAATGTGTACCTCAATTTGGTTAGCACGGAGGAACCTTTTGTATGCGTGAGAGAAGAAGACTGCGGCGTGGTCTGAATGGATCAGGTCGCAGGTGCCGATCTGAGAAAAGACGTCAGAGAGAAATGCGCAGAGAGTATTAGCGTCAGCTTTTTTAACCTGTCTGGATATGATAAATTTTGAAAAATGGTCAATTGCGATTAGGGCATAGCGGTTTTGCACTGGGGTGAGGGGGAGCGGTCCCCAGAAGTCAATTGCCAGGCGCTGGTGGCGTTCCGTAGAGAGGATAGGTGAGATTTTGGTGCCGGTAGGCTTGGTGTTTAAGTTAAATGCGAGGCAGGCGGGGCATTTTTGTACAAATTCCCAGATGGATTGTTGGAGTTTGGGCCAGGAGAAGCGGCATTTGAGAACTTGGTAAAGTTTGCGCCAATTGGCGTGTCCCATCTGGTCGTGGTATGTGGTGATAATGTCCTGGGAGGTCATAGGAGATTCTATGAGTTTGAGGGCATTGAGAGTGATTTGACTGAGCGCGTCGGGCCCTGCAAGGCGGTTGCCGTGCTGGTAGATGAATGTATAATTAAAATATTCTAATTTGAGGAGTAATCGCAGGAGGCGTGTGTCTTTTAGATTGCCGAGAAGGGCTTTGTGATCAGTAAATATCTTGAACGGGCGATGTTTGAGGTAATGTCTGAATTTCTTAGTGACTGCCCAGACAGCTGCAAGGAGTTCTTGTTGTGTATTTGAATATTGAGTTTCTGGGTCAGTGAGAACGCGGCTGGCATATGCAATAATATGAGGGTGATTTAGGTTGTTGCGTTGGACGAGAATGGCACCCAGGCAAGAGGCAGATGCATCGCAATGAATTTCTGTGGAGGCTTCAGGATCAAACTGTTTGAGGCGTGCTGCCTGAGCAATGGCATCTTTTAGGTCGTGGAAACTTTGCATTGCTTCTGGAGACCAAGTGAGCTTTACTGCGGGCTTTTGAGGGATGGTATTATATTTTTCTGCTTGCATTTGTCAAGAAACAAATTTACCAAGCCTTCCCAGATTTTTCTCCTCGAGTGATCCTCCCATTCTATCCAAGTCCACGTTGAATGTTGATATGTACGTTATCGCCCCAACATCGGGGGAAAAACCTTGGTTTGAAAAAATATTTGACAAACATTTAATGTTTTCCTCTTGAAACAAGAGACATTATTGCTTTCCACCGCAAATAAACTGCGACCGGTAGGCCTTAAATTCTGATGAAACGGACAAGAAAATACTGTATATAAAATTAGAATTCAAATCTGCGCTGAAATCATCCGTCATCTGGATTTGCCTTGTGATTTTTTTTCTAACCTGGATTTTAAATCAGCGGCTCTAATTCTCACACAAAATACAAAAAGAAGTATATTTTCAGAGCATCACCATTATCATATTGAGGACAGCTTATAAAGTCTTGAAACAAGTGTGGTTTCTGAAAACAATACTCTTAGGGTTTCTTTGATGCCTGGGTTCTCTCCCTTTAGAGAAACGCAGTAAATTCAACGCCAGACAAGACCACCAAAATGCATCTTTGATAACAAGAAATGCAAAAAAAATGTGTTCAAACAAAACAACGACAACAAACAACTCCGACAAACATAATTTATTAAACGCGTCGACACCCAAAACACGGAAGCCAAAAGCGTTCGATTGAGGCCGGAAGGAAATGCAAATAAAATAAATAAAATAAACTCGTCAGGGGGTCGGGGCCGGGGGTGGTGGTGGTGGTGGTGGTGGTGTGGGATAAAAACAACAAGGCGCAGAGTTCGTATATAGTGTGCATTTTCCGACCAGCCCCTGGGCTCTTTTGCGTTGGAATGCAGACAAGGTCTCTTTTATTTTTCCCTTTTTTTCTTCTCTATCCCTGTTTATGCCTATTTGTTCTCCACTTCTTTCTTTCTTTCTTTCTTTCCAGAGTGTCGCTGGGTCTCTACATATACCCCTCCATCGTTGCAGGGGTAGGTCATGGGTCGCACGCAGCTGTATCGCTCATGCACGTGATCCACTTACAAATACACTAAAGCGCGTGCCCCTTTTTATTCGTCGACCCCCTCGGTGCAGGAAACCCCCCCCCCCCTCAATTGCACACGGGCACGCCCGTGCCGAAATTCCCCGGTTTTTATGCTGCAATTCCAGCCAAGAGTTGCCGAATGACTGGCTTCATTATGTCCCGTCGAACCCACAGAAAATGTGTACATCATCAAAGGATGGCAAAAGGCCTGAAGAGACCCTTCCTTAGGTGAACACTGAGTTTATTTAATCCAGTCGTAGACACACACACACACACGCACACACACTTTTGGTGGTACCCTGTGGTGCAATGGTGTTTTTTGGGAACACATAAAAAAAGACTTCATGCGCTATAAGCGAATATCCGGCTAAATTCAATCAGCGTTCATTTCAATATTGTACTGAAAATGTCTACTGAACCAAAATTGTCTCTAGTAGAAACCCGAATCTGAATATAATGCCTGTACATATTTGCTTAATTTCCGGGATCACATGTTTTTCAGCCAGCCA